AAGTAGGAGAGACAGACACCCGCCAGCCACCTTATGCAACTTGTGCATGTTAGTCGGTGGAACTGGTCTCACGTAAGCGTACGTGTAAAGTTGGTCCGGGCCGCTTCATCCCACAATACCGTTGAAGCAAGATAAGACTAGTAGCGGCAAGAAAGTTGACAACATCAACGCCCACAACAAATTGTGTTCTACTCGTGCAAGAGAACTACGCATAGACCTAGCTCATGATGCCACTGTTGGGGAACGTTGCAGAAAACAAAAATTTTCCTACGGTTTCACCAAGATCCATCTAGGAGTTCATCTAGCAACGAGTGATTGGATTGCATCTACATACCTTTGTAGATCACGCGCGGAAGCGTTCAAAGAACGGGGATGAGGAAGGCGTACTCGACGTGATCCAAATCACCGAAGATCCTAGCGCCAAACGGACGGCACCTCCGCGTTCAACACACGTACGGTTAGCGTAACGTCTCCTTCTTCTTGATCCAGCAAGGGGGAAGGAGAGGTTGAGGGAGATGGCTCCAGCAGCAGCACGACGGCGTGGTGTTGATGGAGCTGCAGTACTCCAGCAGGGCTTCGCCAAGCACTATGGAGGAGGAGGATGTGTTGGAGAAGGAGAGGGAGGCACCAAAGATCAAGGTAAGAAGTCCTCCATCTCCCCACTATATATAGGAGGGCCAAAGGGGGGGCACCGGCCCTAGGAGATCTAATCTCCTAAGGGGGGTGCGGCCAAGGGGAGGAATCCCTCCTCCCCAAGGCACCTAGGGGTGCCTTCCCCTTTTGGGACTCTTCCCTCCTTGAAACCCTAGGCGCATGGGCCTCTTGGGGCTGGTGCCCTTGGACCATGTAGGCCAAGGTGCACCCCCTACAGCCCATGTGCCCCCCCGGGACAGGTGGCCCCACCCGGTGGACCCCGGGGACCCTTCCGGTGGTCCCGGTACAATACCGGTGACCCCGAAACTTGTCCCGATGCCCGAAATAGCACTTCCTATATATAATTCTTTACCTCCGGACCATTCCGGAACTCCTCATGACGTCCGGGATCTCATCCGGGACTCCGAACAACATTCAGGTTACTGCATATACATATCCCTACAACCCTAGCGTCACCGAACCTTAAGTGTGTAGACCCTACGGGTTCGGGAGACATGTAGACATGACCGAGATCGCTCTCCGGTCAATAACCAACAGCGGGATCTGGATATCCATGTTGGCTCCCACATGCTCCTCGATGATCTCATCGGATGAACCACGATGTCGAGGATTCAAGCAACCCCGTATACAATTCCCTTTGTCAATCGGTATGTTACTTGCCCGAGATTCGATCGTCGGTATCCTAATACCTCGTTCAATCTCGTTACCGGCAAGTCACTTTACTCGTACCGTAATGCATGATCCCGTGACCAGACACTTGGTCACTTTGAGCTCATTATGATGATGCATTACCGAGTGGGCCCAGTGATACCTCTCATCATACGGAGTGACAAATCCCAGTCTTGATCCGTGTCAACCCAACAGACACTTTCGGAGATACCCGTAGTATACCTTTATAGTCACCCAGTTACGTTGTGACGTTTGGCACACCCAAAGCACTCCTACGGTATCCGGGAGTTACACGATCTCATGGTCTAAGGAAAAGATACTTGACATTGGAAAACTCTAGCAAACGAACTATACGATCTTATGCTATGTTTAGGATTGGGTCTTGTCCATCACATCATTCTCCTAATGATGTGATCTCGTTATCAATGACATCCAATGTCCATAGTCAGGAAACCATGACTATCTATTGATCAACGAGCTAGTCAACTAGAGGCTTACTAGGGACATGTTGGTGTCTATTATTCACACATGTATTACGATTTCCCGATAACACAATTATAGCATGAATAAAGACAATTATCATGAACAAGGAAATATAATAATAATGCTTTTATTATTGCTCTAGGGCATATTTCCAACAGCTCCTTTATATACAGGGGCAGGGGGGCACCTCTAGACACACAAGTTGATCAGTTGATCTCTCCCAGCCGTTTGCGGTGCCCCCCTCCACCATATTCCACCTCGGTCATATCGTTGCGGTGCTTAGGCGAAGCCCTGTGTCGGTAGCAACAACATCACCGTCACCACGCCGTCGTGCTGACGGAACTCTCCCGTGAAGCTCTGCTGGATCGGAGTTCGCGGGACGTCATCGAGCTGAACGTGTGCTGAACTCGGAGGTGCCATGTGTTCAGTACTTGGATCGGTCGGATCGTGAATACGTACGACTACATCAACCGCGTTGTGCTAACGCTTCCGCTTTCGGTCTACGAGGGTACGTGGACAACACTCTCCCCTCTCGTTGCTATGCATCACCATGATCTTGCGTGTGCGTAGGAATTTTTTTGAAATTACTACGTTCCCCAACACCAGGTTAGGAGCGCGGCGGCGGTGCTCGAAGTAGGCGAAGAACCCGACAGCATGACGGAGACCGGCGCGGACGGTGGCGTTCCCACACCAAGGGAGGCGGCGCGACGCATACCACGAGAAGTTAATGCGTGTGGACGAGGAAGTGAACCGTGGGCCGCCGCGCTACGGCCCGAAGGGGCGACGCAACGGCAGCGGGCAGGCCGGGGTGACGGCGGGAAGACCTCGAGGCGGCGGCAGGGACCGCGGGCCGCGGCGCGACAGCCCGAAGGGGCGGCGCAGCGGAGGAGCGCGGGTCGGTGCAACCGTGGGGACGGCCTCTGGACGGCGGCGTGGATCGCATGCCACGCCCGCTACGGCCCGACGGGGCGACGCAGTGGCGGCGAGAGGGTCGGTGCTGCCACGGGGGCGACCTGGAGCGGACGGCCTCTAGGCGGCGGTGGACCGCGGGCCGCGGTACTACGGTCCGAAGGGGCGACGCAGCGGTGACGCGGGTCGGTGCAGCTGGGAGAAGAACCACGGGGCGGCGGCGCTGCGGCCCGACGGGGCGATGCAGCGGCAGCCCATTGCTCGATCGGTAGAGGGGCACGTTGAACTCGGGACGGTCTTCATGGAGCCTGCGGAGGCGTGCGCAACCGACGGGCCAGGTCGGTCGCACGATGTAGATGAGGCGGATCGCGGCGGTGGGCGGGTGATCAATCCGATCGCGCGCGAAGTCGGGGACGCCGCTCAGTGGAGGCGCGATGGCGGCGTAGTCCGAGATGAAGCCGGCGGCGGCGGGCGGCAGGACGGCTATGATTGGCCGCAGCATGGTGCGAGGCCGCCGGGTCGGGGTGATGCAGGAGTCCCGGTCGGAGTAGGACGGTACGACCGGCGCAGGGCGACGGGCGGACCACGCGCGGATGGCGGCTGGCCTAAGGGCCACCTCGGCGCGCGTGGCAGCCGGGTCGGAGGTGAGGCCGGCTGGTCGCGCCGGGGTCGGAGTAGAGGCGCTCGGGGTCGACGGCGACGGTGGGCGACGCAAATCGATCAAGAATAGATCGGAAAACTAAAAAGGAACCACGCGATCAAAATGACCGGCGAAAGACAGAAAACTCCAAAGCAAAGCTCAGAGAAAAGACTCTCTAGGGCAACGGGTCAACACGATCGGCGAACGAACTCTAGGTACGGGCGGCGCGGCCCCCGGCGGCGGTCATGGAAGCCGACCGCCCCGGGGGCGGCGCGCGGGTGCGGAAGCGGCGACAGCTAGGGTTTAGGATCGACCTACGATAGATATCATGTTAGAAAGGAGAAAGAGATTTGGTGAAATAATTCGTTGTATTGCTTGAGTCTCGTGGGCATATATATAGGAGTACATAATCTACTTGAAGTACAAGGCAAGCCAGAATATTTCCTAGTCTAACCTATGTTTCCTATACAATCACGTTACTCAACAATTCACTTCATAGGAATTTTTTTTTCCATTAAGTCTAGACTAATATTTATTTTCCTATGAAATGTGGAAGATTGGAAGAATTTCTTCATAGAAATATGATTTTATTCATACAAACCAAAGGGCATTAAAGAAATCTTTTTTACAAAAATCCAATCCTATGAAATTCCTGCAAAAATCCTCGAGGCCTTATACAGAAGAGGAAGGAGAGGAACCACTCGAAACCAGCACCTCACACGTGTCAGTGTACCATTGGACCCGAAAATTCAACCGAGACCAAATGAAAAATCAGTCAGACTGATTAAAAAAAGATTCACCGGGGCATGCATTTCCCTTGGTCTCTGTCTGTGAGTCTGAAGCACTCTGGAAGTCTGGAGTCGATTCAAAACCGCGGCGAGTAGCTTCTTTGTCCGGTCAAGATCGCCGGCTCATCCACACATAAATAATACGTACACGCCACAAAGCGAGAGGAAGCATGGACCAACAGCGACGGGAGCCGGCGCCGGAGACGGAGGTCACCCTGCGCGAGTTCACCGAGGCCGATGCGGAGGCGCTCTTCGCGTGGGCGTCGGACCCGCGCGTGGTGCTCTTCCAGCGCCGCGAGGCCTACGCGCGCGTCGACGAGGCCCGCCGCTACATCCTCGACCACGTCCTCCCGCATCCGTGGTACCGCGCCATCTGCGTCGGCACCGTGGTGGTGGGCTCCATCTCGGTCAAGCCCGCGGGGGAGGAGGGCTCGTCGTCGTCGAGGGCGTCCCTGGGCTACCGCGTCGCGCACGGCTTCTGGGGCCGCGGCATCGCGACGCGCGCGGTGCGGATGGCCGCGTCGGCGGCGTTCGCGGAGTGGCCGTGGCTGGCGCGGCTGGAGGCGGTGGCCGACGTGGAGAACCCGGCGTCGCAGCGCGTGCTGGAGAAGGCCGGGTTCGTGAGGGAGGGCGTGCTCCGGCGCTACCTCGTGCTCAAGGGCCGGCCCAGGGACATGGTCATGTTCAGCCTCTCGTCGTCTCGGACCGCGACGAGAGGGCCATGCCAAAATTTACAAGTGAAAGAACCATTTGAATTGAATAATGAGCAGGTATCGAAAAGCAAGACGATAAAACGTTGAACTCTCAATCGCCAAAGACTACAATCAAACTACACGAGCAGAGGCGGGCGGGGAGCGATGGACCCTGACGGCGACGCGCGGCATCAGCAGCGGCGGCGGCGACCGGAGGAGGAGGGCCCGGCGGTGTCGCTCCGGCCGCTGGGCCTGGCGGACGTGGACGACTTCATGGCGTGGGCGTCGGACGAGCGCGTGATGCGCCACCTGAAGCGCCCCCTGTGCGCGACGAGGGAGCAGGCCGTGGCGCAGATCAGGGACACCGTGCTCGGCCACCCGTGGTTCCGCGCCGTCTGCGTGGCGGGGCGCCCCGTGGGGCAGGTGTCCGTGTGGCCCTACCCGGACGACGGCGGCCACCGGGCCAACCTCGGCTACGCGCTGGCGCACCGCCACTGGGGCCGCGGCATCGCCTCCGCCGCCATCAGGATGGTAACTCCGTTAGCTGGTAACCCGGGCGGAGCTCCGGTTCGGCCTCGCGCGTCGAGTGACTGACTTGCTGTGTTCTTGGCGCGCGCAGGTGGTGGGGAGGGTGTTCGAGGAGCTGCCGGGGCTGGGGAGGCTGGAGGCGGTGACGGACGTCGGGAACGCGAGGTCGCAGAGGGCGCTGGAGAAGGCCGGGTTCCAGAGGGAAGGGGTGCTGCGCAGCTACATCGTCCGCCCCGGCGCCGGCGACGGCGAGGCCAGGGACGCGGCGGTGTACAGCTTCTTGTCCTCCGACCCTCGTCCTCCGCTCGCGTGATCGCGCCCGCTGTTTCGCTCGCTCGCCACTTCGTGCCGTGTAAACCTCCACTGTTAATAACAAGTTTAAATCTGAAGCCCTGATGATTGCCAGTATGTAGTGTTTGCTGAAGGAATTCCATCAGCAGCAGAGAAGATATTCCCATGGCTTTGCTTCAGTCTTCAACTTTAGCATTTTCTAAGGGATTTTTCATATATTATTATTGTAGGATTAGAGGACTTGTGTGGAACGCATGAATTTGACTGTGAGAGAGAAACCTATCAGTCAGGTTTCAAAAGCTTAAGCTTGCCCATGATTCCGCTCCCAAGTACTCCCTCAGTAAAGAAATATAACTTTGTTCACTTCTGCTTCGGTACACCCTCCCCCCTCACCCCCCAAACACGTGAACGGCCCAGATTAATCGATACCTCTTCATAAGTAAGGGCACGATGGTCATATATTAGAAATCATTCATCTCCTGTATACGATGTATAGTGAGCTGGGCCGGCCCATCTTTCCCTTGTACAAAATTCGACGTGATAACCAACCGGCGACTTGAGCACTTGTGTTTAGGTAGTTCTGTCTTGTCCTTTTCTTCCTTGCTCTTTCCTGTTTCTGATTTCCTTTTTTTCTTAGTTTTTCAAACATTTTTTTCGGTTTTCATTTCCCTTTTTTTCTTTTTAGTTTTATTTTCCTTTTTGTTTTACTTTTTCTTTTGAATGTGCAAACTATTTCAGTTTTCTTTAAAAAAAATCAATGAACCTTTTTTTTAATATTGATGAATCTTTCTCTAGATGAATGATTTCTTTTTTAGAGTAGATGATTTTTAAGATGCATGATTTCTTTTTCCGAGCATGATTCAAGATGACTCTTTATTCATTTCCTGCAAAAGTTGAGTAGAGATTTCTTTTTTTCTAAATTGATGAATCTTTATTCAAGATGAATGATTTCTCAAGATGAATAAAGATTTTTTTTTCTAAATTGATGAATCCTTCTAGCAACCGAACACCCTTCATTGAACATGGTCTAGTTTTGGATATTCTTGAAATGACCCCAACTTTTGCAGGAAGGTGGGCATTGCCCATGGTAGGCACCAGTGATAGGTTTGAATGATTTCTGACACCGCATGCAACTTGCGACACGCCCGATCATTTATCGGTCTTTTTTCATCGGAAAAACTCCAGAAAATGCAGAACTTGTTGAAAATCCAAACAACTTGGCATGGTGTCTTGAATTGGTCATACAAGGCCATGAAAAAATTGGGGCCATTTCAAGGATGTGAAGAAAACAACGTGCTCTCAAAGAGAGCCTTCTGGCAACCGAACACCCTTTATTGAACATGGTCTAGTTTTGGACATTCTTGAAATAACCACAACTTTTCTAAGTAGGTGAGCATGCCCATGGTAGACATCCATGTCAAGTTTGAATGATTTCTGACATCGTATACAAGTCGCGACACGTCCGACCATTTATCGACCTTTTTTGGCTCGCAAAATTCATCAAAACAAAAAAAAAGTCGGCATGGTGCATTTAGTTGGCCATACAAGGTCATATAAAAAATTGGGGCAATTTCATGGATGTCGAAACACAACGTGCTCTCAGGCGGAGCTTTCTGACCTACCTGAATACACTCATTTGAACATGGTCTATTTTTAGATATCCTTCAAATGACCACAACTTTTCCAAGAAGTTGAGCATGCACATGGTAGGCATCTATGTCAAGTTTGAACTATTTTCGACAGTGTATGCAAGTTGCCACATGTCCGAGCATTTATTTTCTTTTTTTTCCGAGAAAACTCTAGAAAATGCAAAAATTATTGAAAACCAAAACAACTTGCCATGGTGTCTTGAATTGGCCATACAAGGCCATGGGAATAATTGGGGCCATTTAATGGATGTCTATTTTTAGATACGCTTGCAATAACCCAACTTTTGCAAGCAGGTGGGCCTACCCATGGTAGGAATCCATGCCAAGTTTGAACGATTTTCGACACCGTATGCAAGTTGCGACACGTTCGGCAATTTATCACCCTTTTTTGACAAAGAAAGCTTCAGAAAATGTAAAATTTGTAGAAAACCAAAAAACCTTGGCATGGTGCCCTGAATTGTTGCCAGTGAAAAAAAATTAGGTCATTGGACGGATGTCGAGAAAAAACATGCTCCCAAACGGAGCCTTCTGACCTACCCCGACACCCTACGTTGAACATGGTGATTTTTCTACACGAATACAAAAAAATCGAGCAAATTGAAAAAAATTGTTACAAATTTTTATTCGTAGTTTTCTTGAAATTCCAAATTTAATAGTGACTTTCCTAAAATGTTAAAAGAAAAATGTTCGGGTTCAAAATTTTGTTAGCTCTTTGTAAAAATGTTTGTGTTTTGACATTATGAGCAATTTGAAAATACAAAAACATTCCAAGGAATTCATAAAATGTTCGCATTTTGAAATAATTGTTCATAGTTTCAGAAAATGTCCATGTTTTCAGTTTTGTTCCTCTTACAAGAAAATGTTCGTATTTTAAAATTTTTTTGTAGTTTCAAGAAATGTTCTCACTTTCAATTGTGCTCTTATTTTTCTAAAACAAAGTTTGAGGGTCTGATTCGTTGTTCACAAAAGGTTTGTGTTTAAAAAAATATGTTCACAGATTTTGAAAATGTTTGGGTTTAAAAAAAATTACTTTGTGAAACAGAAATTCACATACGAATTTTCGAAAAAAATAGATCGTTTTGGACTAGTGATGTTATGCACTCGCAGGAGCTTGTGTGTTAGATCCGCGCACCCATTTATGTATTTGTCAATTGGTGTTAAAGTGTTGCCGCTTTCACTAATTCTTTAGGCGTGGCAGTCTGTAGCACTTGAGTTAGGCAGCCGAAGTGGCTAGCAGCGGTTGGAATTATATGGCTGGTCGTGAGTTGGATACCCATATAGGGCGTAATTTTTGTTGATTTTCCAGCGCAAATGGGCCGGCCCAGGTTAGCTGTGCCTGTGCCGTATTCCAGCGTAGAGGAGGTCTTCCTACGTACAAAACTGGATATGATTTGTCAAAAGTCTAAATTACCCTTTATACGCTTTGTGAGGGGGGGTGTACCGAAGCATTCCTCTTGTTTGTTTAGATCACTATTTTAGTGATCTAAATATAAGATCGTTTCAATCACTACTTTAGTGATTTAAATATAAGACCGTTAAGAAAATAGTGGTTCAAACTTCAAAGTCCATAACCTAGCTAGGTTCGATAGACTGATAAACTGTGTCGAAACATGGAAAATGGAAAGTCACTAGAACTAGCATATGAACAATCAGATGCAGTGACCTGCCAGGTTAATAAACCTACCAGGGGTCAAAAAAGCTCAGATTAACCCCTTGCCCATGATTCCTCAGGGGTCAAAAGCAGTACCAGCACCAATAATGCAGTAACAGCAACCAAAAGACAAAGAAAAGATCGATACCCAACAGGCAACAGTACAAGCAGAACTCACTCACCCATGAATGATGGCATGACAATCGTAACTCATAATCATGTTTGGTCCAGCACCTGCACTGCACCCACCCAATTTTTTACACAAACAGCGTGATGATTAGGAGCAGTTGAGCTCTCATTATGCCGGTCCGGGCTGCTGCATTTTGTTTTAGTACGAGTGATGGGCCATGGCAAACCACACAAACCTATGAATCTTTTTCAAGATGGCTACTTTTGGCCCCCTTGAATCACTGAACAGGGTGCAGTTGGTTTCAGTTCCATCCTCCCTTTTGATGAATAAGCAAGCAAAGCAAAGTGTTTGATGGTGATTGAAAAAAAAAATCCAGAAAATTTGATGATTGACGAGTACTAACTGGTGTTTTGTTTTGATCAGAGTGGATCTGTCAAAAGAGCCATGCTGTGGATGATTTTGCTTTCCAGTAGTTTAATGAACACAGTTTCTTTCAGAGTGCATTGTGGGACAAATGGCTCCATGTCACCTCTAATGGCCAGAATTTAACTTGCAGCATACAGGGCAGGGTAGAAGAACACTGGCATCAAATTTCATTCCATTTAACTAGAACGTCGAACAACATCTTTCAGTGATTCAGGGGGCAAAGTTCTTTTAATCCGCGGCAAAAGACTAAAAATCATTCTGTTCTCCATGACCAAAAAACATCATCCAGTCTTGCAAAGTCAAGAAGAAACTAAAAATGAAAAACAATAAATCTCATCTCGGTTATTCAGGGCCATCATGCATGCCTTCTCCTCCACTGAAACACTCTTGTGAAACGCACCGTCCCTCGCCCGTTTAGCTAGCTAGCGCAGGTTGTCCACCGCTTCGTCGAAAAGCATTTCCCGGTACCGGCACTCGTCGCTGCAGAATGCTTTGCCACCCCTGATGAAGAAAGAAAGAAAAAAGGACCAATTATATCACAGAAATGTGCCAATAATATCCAACTGATGAGTTATTTAAAAAAAAGCAGAGCTTTTGGGGGCAATTGATGTTCATGTTATGCTCTTTGTGCAAAGCAGAGGCACAAATAAAACTGCTCTGATCGAGAAGATAGCATCTGAAATCGTGAGGCCGGCTAAAAGTTTTTGAGCGCATCTCCAGGTTTGAGTTTATCACTTCAATCCATGAACAAAGACATGGCACAGATCCCTTTCCTATCGAACCAAACTCAACTCAGTATAATCTTTTGGCATAAGGCTGTCAAACTAGCAAGCATATACTACTATGCGATTCTTTTTTTGTATTTGCGATGACGATAATAGCTGCTTCGGGTCATGGTCAGGAGTAGGCTTGGGACAGGGACCTCGTTTAGCATTTAGCAACATCATCAATTAGGAGGCCAAATAGTTTAATCCCTAGGATGTTGTTAACATAATCCCCCAGGGGACCCAACATTAGGATAATGAGCTTCTTTTTGCATAGTTTTCTACGCGAAAGCGATGCGGAAGGAAACATTTTATTTTGTTCGCACCAAACGAGGCCTACTCTACTATACAAGCTCCAATAATGAAGAAGAATCAGACCCATCGACGAAGATATATTATTGG